GGAGGGGGGGGGGAGGGGGGGGGGGAAGGGGGGGCGGCAGCGGCGTGGTGCGGCAACAATGATTTGCGCACTGCGACCTGCCAAGCCATGCAGCCCTGTATTCAGACATGGGAATGCACCAGGATTTGCATCCTGACATACCGGTGCTGGAGAGCAGCGCCGTTGATATTTCATACAAAGTTTGAAGTACAGACCCTGGTTTTGGCAACACGCACCCTGAAGCACTTTAGACCTAAGTTGCCACTTCATCGCGAGAGGCAGCTGCAAGTGCGGCGGCTGTCGTTTTCAGTTCTCCGCTCGAAAGGCTGGGCAGCTTGCTTCGAGGCGTTTTGTTTTCCGGCTTCGGGCATCAGATTGAACTTGCAGGGTCTCCTAGCGAAGGATTCAACTGTGCATGGGAGGGCCTGTTTAGTTCAAGATGCAAGGTGCCGGCATAGAATCATTGAAGTCAGAAACGTATCGTGACAATTTGGATGATGCGCAGGATAGCCAGGATCAAAAGAGATCAATCAGCCACGGAGGTAGCGGTTTTCTACGACCTTGTCTGTAGTGGTCTTAGGAATTCTTGCTCATTTTTACTATAGTATATAACCCTAAGGAGTTCTTCTTTCAAAAAGAATATCATTGGTCTAGGGGCACTACACCTGCATGTCTACCTGAAAGGAAGCACGGATGTGTCCAGTGGAGTTCCCTTGTCCACTGTGGAGTGGTGTAAACCCGAAACCCTGAACCTCAAGCCATATGCCCTAAAACATCCTTCTCAGACCAAGCTAGGTGTTGCCCCACGGCTCATCTGGTCACCTGGATATGGCGAATTGTCATTTGCCAGCATTGCAAAAAGGCGGTTTAGGGTTAAGGGTTAATTCGGATCTGCGGCTTTTAGACAGAGGACATCGACGACCACATGTGGCTTATGTTAGGAGCCTAAATACTTACTAATATTTTGGGCCTAGATTCCTTGTAGAAGTACGGTCTCAAATGATGTTGGTAACAGTTTATAGCGTTTGTCCAGCCCTCACTTCGCACATACAGCTTCAAGGCGATGTTCCACCTTGTTTCCAGTTGTTTTCCAGTAACGACACCGTATACCCTGAGACCAATCCATGCCGTGCGCACTCGACAACCCTAACCTTAAAATTTACGGGGTTGCTGCTACGGAATTTAGAGTAAGTTACCAGAACAAGGAAACAATATCATTCATATGTATCTATTATACACTCATATCACGGTAGCTTACTTCAAGCTCCGCTCCTGAACAGCAACCTAGTTTAGGCCCTTGCATTACCTACGTGCACGGTGATACTTCCAGGGAGAAAGGGGCCTGTACATGAGGGGCCTATTTTTGAGAAGCCCTAAAGCCCTAAACCCTGAAGCCCTAAACCCTAAAGCGTTGTTCTAGCGTTCAGGGTTTAGGGATTCCGAGCAGAGCTCAGCGCTTGCAATTCCTTACTTGTGGGGCTCAAGGGTCGGGATTTTCTTGGTGCTGTTCTGAGAGAGCCAGGGTTTAGGGGTTCAGGGTTTAGGGGTTTAGGGCCCCGTGTTTTGGCCACTAGGGATGGTGCTAGAGTTTTAGAGACGAAGGTTTTCAGCATACTTGTGATGGATTAAATCTGTTAATCCCTAGACCCTAAACCGGAATTGTGGTTTTCAGAGGTCGTCGTTTTCGGTGTGGGTGTCTGGTTTGGCCTTCTCGGATTCCTTGGATGACCGCAGCAGTGGGATTCTTTCGTTCGGCCTTTTTTTGAGCATGTATCGCAGGCGGTAAACTATGAAAATTGGGCCCCTAATCTTCAGAAGTTAGGTCACCCCAAAAAGGGATCACAGCGTTGGCGCCCCCTCCCCAACATCAGAGTTTCGACGACATTGTAGCTCCTATGGCTGCATGGTTGCCTGGACTAAGCGCCGAGGATACACAGTGACTCAGCATGTATAGGGTTTAGAGTTTAGGGTGCCCAAGGGCTCTGGCTCACTTACAACGTAGCCCTGAGATAATTCATGATCATATCGGACTGATGTCTATCTTACCAGATACCTGAGACCCGGGTCTATGTACGTATAGGCGGTGGCGCTGCTTCTTAATTTGATCGTCCAGGGGTGCACGAGTACACTTGAGCGTTGGAGTCCGAGTAGGCACAAATCAGATTCACGAGCAGGAGCATTTGCACAGCTGCCTGCCCCAGGCTCTGTTTGTTGGCTGGGAGGTTCCTCTGCACCCATGTTTTCTGGGTTGCTGTTTTGGAACTTGTTAAGTTACTGAATTGGGAAATCCTATTCATTACTTGATATACCCACTATGGTAACTCAGCTTAAGTTTCTTAACAGCAACCCAGCTTTTTGTTCGCTGGAGGGTTCCTTTGCACCCATCTCTTTGTAGACAACATGCGACTCTTCAGGATGAGGCGGTGTTGCTTACGCAGAAAGTCTTTGTAGTTCCGTTAAACAGCAAAACTTGCACTACTGTATGAACGCTGGGATCCCGAATCCCAATCGCAGTGATTCCCAATGCCCAAGCGATGCGAGTTTCAATGCATGCCCATAAGCATAGTATGCCACCCAGTTTTCTTAGGGTTTCGGGTTTAGGGTACCTTTCCAATCTTGAAGGACCGTAAGCCCGAAACTCAGACCGATTTTTCATACCCTGTATATGTGTGAGCCTTAAAGTCTGCTTCTCACACCATGAACCCTAAACCCTGAACCCTAAACACCATGAACCCTCAACCCTGAACCTTAAACGCCATTTACCCTGAACCCTAAACACCATGCCATGAGATTCCGGCATTAAAAATGAGGCCACTGCAGCCCCTGTCGACATGCGCATGCTGCAGCTTGTTCTTTTTATGGCTTAGGGCTTATTGTTGGGGTTTTAGGCTTGCCCTTGGAACTTGACGGGTAGGTTTTGCGGCATTTCTAGAATGGAGCAATTAAATCCCATGGCTGAGATGGAACCTCAAAAGGCGCCCTATGTAGATTATTGCGCTTTTCAAAAGGGCGAAAAGGGGATTCAGGTTAGTTTGGGGCAAGGCACGCGAGTTAGGATCGATGGTTCAAGGCTTCAGGCTTCAGAGTTTGGATGGTGGGATTTCGGATTTCTGGGCTGCTGTTAAGGAACTTAAATTAAGTTACCATAATGGGTATATGTAGTAAATAATAGGGTTTCCCCAATATAGTAGCTTGATTTAAGTTCCTTAACAGCAACCCAGATTTGTGGCGTGAGTCGGGCCCACAGGGTCCATGTAGCTATGTGGTATATACTTGGGCCCCACAATAGATACATGGGAAATGCTATGGGGCCTACGTATATGCCATATTTCTGCATGGACCCTTTGGGGGAATCAGAATTTGGGCTACGGCCTGCCGGAACGTGGTTCACGTACAGAAATGCACAAGTTCCTAAAGACATGAAGGCCCTAAACCCTAAACCCTCAATACCAATCCGATTTCTGTCTGTTTGGGCTTGGTGTTTGTGACATCTTCCAGGGCTGAGTGGCAAGGGCGTCATTGGTTATTCAGGCGTCTGGAGTTGTACACCGACTTGTAAGGGTTTAGGGTTTAGGGTTTAGGGTAAGTAGTATTGCGAGTGCCCGAGTTCTTTTGCAAGTACATCTTTAAGCCTACTTAGACAAGGTTTAGGGTCTCCTTATTCAAGCTGAACATCAGGAATAACGGTACCTTTCTTGTTACGGAACTACTGGGGAACCTTGTAGAACTACGCCAGGTGAAGGTGGTCGGGGAAGGGTTCATGAGATCAAGCGCGGGAGACCTTAATAGCAAGGCTACCTGAACAACTTATTGGTTCTTGGTAAGGAATAAGGGAAGATAATCCTTATATAATCCCTATGGAATATATTCCCGTATTCCCAACCCTAATCCCTGAACCTTACATGATTATTCCCTTATTCCCCACTAAGCCCAGTAAGACAAACATGTTGCTAAAACAACGGGCCTTGTGAGTCAGCGCCTCGGTTGCCGCTGCAAGGGAATAGGCTTCGTGGTCCAGGATTTTTGGTCCAGGGCTGAGGGTCTAATTCAGACCTGTGATTAATAAATCCCCTCCCCTTAGTAGGGACTATAATGGGGATCCTAATATTGAGCCCCTTAAAATTAAAAGGAGGGGGTTTACTAATCACGGGTCTACATTAGGGTTTGGGGTTAGGGTTTAAACCCTAAACATTAAACCCTAAACCCTAAACATTAGACCCTAAACCCTAAACAGTAGACCCTAAACCCTAAACCCTAAACATTAGACCCTAAACCCTGAGCTTGGCGAAGAGGGTCATGGTTTTGACCTCAAAGGAGCCTCATCTTCATTGAGCAGTGGAGCATCGTGTTAAGTCCTCAGCCTCTGGAGGTACTGTTGATACTCACATGAGATATATCTACATCTATATCTAGATTCTAGGTACATATGAGCTACAGTCTAAACTCCTTAAAGGGGGGTTATACAGGGGAATATATAGGGGTATATCATAGGGGTTATTAAGCGGGATACTAGGAGTTTAGACAATGGCTCATATATACCCCTGTGGCCTCGATAATCCCCTAAGTGGGGCTCCCCGCCTGTATTTGGAGTTGGCATGTATTTGGGGTTCATGACAAATTGAAAAAACGTGAACCCCCTAACAAAAATTGCTGCCAATGTAATGTCAGCATATAAGGGGAGAGTCTTAGGCATTAGAAGGATTGGATGGTTTGTTGTCAGGGCGCCCTGCTAATTTTGAAAGCTCCTTCAGATGCTTAATTACACTCCCCCAAACTAACATGGAGAACCATATAGCATACCCTTTTTGCAGAAAGTAGTCTAGATGAGACCTTATTTCAGGTTCTACATTAGTTTGGAGGAGGGTAGCTACTTGTGAGTAGTATGCTACTTGGGGATCTACAGTCCCGCTGGAGGAAAAGTTCATCCTCCTTTGTGTTGCTTTACAAGAGAACAAACTCCTTGGTTCAACCACCAAAGAACTAAAAACAAAAACGGCTGCTCAAATTTCATAGGAACCTTAGGTCCCCTTTGAAGGCGTCATAGGCACTGTAGCTATAGGCGGTATATATGAAGAATGGAAAATCCCAAGCCCTAAGCCGTAAACCCCGCATTCTAAACAGTAGCGTGAGCTGAGGCAGCTTTTGCATCCTACGTCACTGCACATGACTCGGTTCTGAGCTGCTGTTGGGGAACTTGGTTTTGGGGTTTAGGGTTCTGGAGTTTTGGGTTTTGGGATAGCTCTTAGGGTTAAGGAGCCTCAACTTATGAGCACCCTTCAGTTAATGGTTTAATGGAGAATCAACTGAAAACGAAAATGGCAAATGAAATGGAAACTTGTGTTACATTTCGGTTAGAATCAATGTTGCGGAACTTGGTCCTGAACAGCACAAGGGTTTTCCAGGGATTTTCGAGCTCAGGGTCTCCAGGACTTGTCGGGTAGAGGTTGAGTGTCAGGTTTGGGTTCCTGGGTTTATAAAGCGGATTTTGTGTTTGGGCTTCATTCAGGGTGTACACGATTCCAATAGTGGCGTCTTCAAAGCTACACGTCCAATATGTCCCTCAAGTATCGACCCTTGAGGGTTGGGATTCTTGTAAAACGAATGGCCTGTAAGCTGCCGTAATGTTAGGAGTAGATACGGGGGACTGCAACAACGAGGGTTCTCGAAATCACGAGTTTCTTTTTGGGCTTTTGGGCGTATGTTGGGGGACCCCATAAATAGAGTCAGCCAGTTAGTCTTGCACTCAAATGCAAGATTACCCGGTGCTTAGCAGGCCCTAAACCCTAAACGTTCTAGTATCTGATCTTCATACGAGCTACAGTCTCAACTCCTAGTATCCCCCTTAGTAGCCCCTACAATTCTCCCCTATGTATAACCCACTTTAAGGAGTTTAGACTGGGTTTAGGGTCCAGGGTTATAGCTCACATTCCCCATCATTCTTGCAATGACTCATTCCACCGTTCCCTACCAACCGGCAGGTGCAAGATCTGAAAAACTCTGGCTTCAGCTTTGCTTAATACCAAGGCCTCTCATATCAGTAGTATTTTATCTGGGGGTACTATGGTACCCAATATAGAGTAAGATTATATCCTCCTTTTAGGGTATAGTATTTTATATAAGGGCTATTATCCTAGTAGGTTCAGCCACCAAAATATACACTACTCATATACTTGGTTCCCCAAAATTAGGGTACCCGTTACCCCCATATGGCCCTCGATGTACTATAAATATTCTTACAGTGACCCACAAAAGCATGTATATAACCTTAATTTTGAGAAATCCATGCCTGCACCCAATCATATAATAGTCCAATCTGTAGGGCGTTAAGAAACAACGAAATGTTTGAGAAGCACTCTCTTCTTGGAATTAAACGGATTTCCATGGTTCGCGCCAGCTTTGGGTCCCTACACCCGAAACCCCAAACCCTATAGTCCCCCTTAAGTAAATAGAATGAGCCTTGGGTATATTATAGTAAGGTCCCCATAGAACCCGTAGTCTATCTACTGAAGGGTGACTATAGACCATATACGAAAAAATTGAAGAGGCAGGGAAACGATCCCCATATAACCTGTATTCTATCTACCTAAGGTGGACTATAGGCCATAAACCAAAAAATTGAAGAGGCTGTGAATTTTTGCATCTTCAATGAATACCCTTAAGTAGATAGAGTATGGCTCTGGGTATGTTATAATAAGATCCCCATATAACCCGTAATCTACTCAAGGGGGACTATAGATCATGAACCAAAAAATGAAGAGGCTGTGATTTTTTGCGTTTTCAATGCCAAGATCAGATGTGCTTGCTATTTGTCGCCTAAAACCTTGCAACCCACTTTATGATCCCGGTCTTCATTCCATCTCCCATCAGTAATGCACTCTATAATTAAGCTCGCAGTTTCCATTTCATTTCCACCTGCCATCTATTCAATAATACCGGCTTCCATTGCATGTTCGACCTGATTCCCCATCAGGCATATACCCCCTAATTTTGGAAAACCCCTAAGCCCCACACCCGGTCGGCTCCTCTATGCATGGTCACTTCCTGCGCCCAAGAGCTGGTCTCTGCACTCTGTCGAAGCTTTGAAGCCGAATCTCAAATCAGCAGCCATAGGGCCGCCCTAAACCCTTAAACCTTAAACCCTAAACCCTAAATCCCAAACCAGAGTTTCCGGCAAAGGTTCCCACTGCTGCGGTGGAGAGGCTGAAGGCGCGTGGAGCTTGAGCATATGGCTGCAAGCTGCATTGTTGGGCTCAGAGTGGAGAGTGTCATCGTAATATTAGGTAATAGTAGTACAGTAGCAATACTAAGAATAATAAGCATAGTAATGATAAGTAATAGTATATTCCAAGTAATGATCGCAATTAATCATAGTAATAATAGTAATACAGTAATCATAGTAGTCATAGTGATGATATGGTTTACGGCCGTTGGCTCACAGTGTATCAGGTGTTAGAGTCTTGTGTCAGCCGGTCTAGCATGCTGCGCTGGACATGCGGTAGAATAATTGGCGTCTAAGGCGCGCATAGCAGCGACGGAGTTTTTGTGAAAACGGTACCCTAGGCATCCAAATAGCCCAAAGTAGGTAGTGTTTACAGGCTTTACGGCCCGATGTAGGCAGTATTTGAAAACTTGGATCCTCCGGATTCGGCGAAAGGCCGCCGCGTCCCCAAGGCACTGCACGGCAAATCCTTGAAACGAAGCCGCAGGGTTGGGAAGCTTGGCCAACCCTACAGCCCAAACCCTACAGACCTTGCCCCCTGAATCTTGAATTCTGAACTTGGCCCTGAACCCTAAACCCTGAATCCTAAACCCTACCTAAAAAGCCTAAACCCTAAATCCTAGCCCCTGAACCCTACCTAAACCCCAAAAGTATCTAAAATAATAGCCCTAAGCCCATAATAATAGCCATAAAGGCCATTAGTTTACGTACTTTTGGGGTCCAGGTAATCATTATATCCAAAACTCTACACCCAAAATCTGCAAGCAAAGGGCGAGGATCCTGAACTGCGGTTTAGGTGAAGCCTCTAAGTCGCTACATTAGGGTGTAGGGTTTAGGATTTAGGGTTTAGGGTTTAGGGTTTAAGAGTTTAGGGTTTAGGGTTTAGGGGTTTTGGGTGTAGGGGTTTAGGGTTTTAGGGTTTATCGTATCAACA